GGATAGGGGTGGACACAAACTCAGGAAGAACCAATAAACAGTGTGAGGGGTGTGGAGTGTGAAGACACTAAAAAGACCTTAGGGAGGCCATGGACCAAGAGCAGAGCAGAGCAGAGCTGGCACAGTAGTAGTGCAGGCTCAGCTTGGCCTGCTGGGCAGCTGGACAAGGCCTCTCCAGGCCCTTGCCACTGTGCTGCTTCCTCCCCCACCCAGCCTGGAGGAAACAGGGAAACCTGTGCCCTCGGCTGTCCCTCTGATTTTCAGGGCTCCCTGCAGCCCCCGAGGGGTAGTCAGTAAGGGGTGGTCCCTTCCCATTCCACCAGGTACTGAACCTTGCCCTCTGGTGTGACCCTCCGAGCCAACACCTGGTACTTCTCCCCACAGGCCAACCGCCCTGCTGCGCCAAAGTAGGTGGTGATAGATGACTTGAGGTGTGACAAGGACGAGTCGTCTTCACTGATGCTCTCAAATGTGTGGCTATCGATGCCTTCGTCTGGCCGCTCGGGGCCCAAAGTCCCCTCCGCACTGCTGTCTGAGGGGCAGCGTCCACCCAGCTCAGCCGCCCGCCGCTTGGCCCGCAGCGGCATGTATGCCTTGGCCGCCAGCTTCCTCTTGCGGCTGCCTACTGTCCGTCTACAGCAGGAGTGGGGAGAGGAAGATGATGGGAATGAGATGGGATGACCATGACAAATCCCTTGCTCCCAGCAGTCTCCTGGGTACCCGGCACTGTGCCTGGCCCGGGGCATGGATTATCTCACGGGTCCTTGCAGTAACCCCATAGGAGGGAAACTGAAGCTCCAGGGGAGAAGCAGCCAGCTGGGGAGTGGCAGAGCCAGGTTCAAACCTGGGTCTGTCCAGCTCTAAAGCCTGGGCTCTTTGGGTGCCAGAATCAGAACTGCTAGAGTACAGACAACTGTTCTCTGCGCCCCCTGAGGTCATGCAGCATAGAGGCCTTGTGTACGCTGCTCATCTGTCACCTGCACCCATGTGGAGCTAGCTGAGCCAAATGGGGATGAGGACAGGGTCAAGGACTGAGGGACAGACCTTGTACTACACAGGCAGATGTGTTAGAGAAGGGACACAAGATCAGATTCACATCCACAGATGCTTAGAAATGGAAGCCAAGACCCAAAGCACTAGTGGAAACCAAAGAAACAGGAAGAAACAAAATATAGGGCTGGGTGTAGCTCAGCAGTAGAGCACTTGCCTAGCTTGTGTGAAGTCTTGGGTTCCATCCCCAGAACCAACCAACCAACAAATAAAAAAACATTAGAAAAAGACACATGAGAGACTTCTGCAGACTAAGACTTCAGGACACAGGTCTACAAGCATTATGCTTTTAATTCTACTTTTGCAAGGGCTTCACATGTCCCAAAATAAAGGAGCCTGAGTCCAGAAGAAATCCTTCTGCTTTGCAGACCACCCTCCCTGTGCTGCTGACCACCAGCTCTTGCCAAGCAGGCCAGCCCTTCAGCTTGGGCCCCCTGGAATTTGTCCTCCACCAGACCCTGCAGTCCACAGGATGCCATCCTCCCTCTACCAGGCTTCCAAACACATGCTCTTCCTTTAGAGGCCCTGGAACTCAGACAGCCAGAAACCAGGGTTAGGGACCCCACAGCCTGAGAAGCATGGGCCTGCAAAATCACGGCACACAGAGGCCAGGAACCCCTAATAAAAGACAACCCCAGATTGGAACCAGCCAGCCAGAGATGTCACATTGTTCTGCAGCAGGTGAAAAGCATTCCAAAGGGATGTGTCCCCAGCATCCTGGATGCCTTTCCTTATCCCACCTGAACCCCAGGGACTCGGAACTAGAGGGTCCCAGGGCCAGACTCTTAGAATTGCAGAAGGCCAGGTCCTCCAGTGGGGGGCTCAGGTATGCAAATTGAGCCCTACAAAAGTAGAAGTGGGAGGTGGCAGCCTGGGAAGAACAACGGTTCTTGTGAAGCTTGAGGTCAGGGCTGACCTCTGGGCGCTCACCTGGAGTCATAGGAGAGGCTGGTAGATGCAGAGCCCGAGGTGCTGGCAGCGTCCGTGGAGTCCACATCTGAGAAGAAGGTCTGGCCTGAGCTGGCACTGAGAGAGGGGGCAAGGGTGAGCTTGCCATTGGTCCAGCCGAGCAAAGTCCTGCTGACCTGGCTCCTGGGGGCCCTGGGATCTCTCCAGCTTTTCTCTGCCTCTCTGGCATGCATCCTTCATTCCCAGTGGAGGCCCATCTTTGCATTGCTGAGCTTCCCACCACCACACCTGCCAATTTCCCGCCCATCCCCCTTCAAAGTCCAGGAGGCAGGAGAGCCTTCCCTGACCACCTTCCCCTCCACTAGGCTTGAAAATAAATGTGACAGAAGCACAGATAATGATACTTAATGAACTGTGAGGCACTTGTGCAACTTTACAGGTCAGTGTTTCCATTTTCAGTATCTTGTTGGAAGAAAACATGAGGAGGTTCAAAGAGGTTAAGAAATTTAGCTGATGCCACATAGTACTGGTAAACAGGGTCTGGAGCTCAGCCTGTCTCAATCCCCGACTCTTTCCTCCATGGCTTTAGGTAAACACTGAATGACTTCTAGTGATTTTGGAAATCAGATGACAAACGACGTAGACCTTCCCCTTGAGTGTACCCAAGCACACACAGAAAAGTATCCAACACAGCCTGGGAGGATCTGTGTAGGCTCCTTGGAAGGAGCCAGGTCCTGGGTTTTCAGATGGGATGGGGTGGCCAGGGCAAAGGGCCTTCCAGGCAGAGGGAGCAGCATGAGTGAAGGCGAGGAGGTGTTAAACCACAGTGTGGGATAACCACAGAAATTGGTGTAAGGTGGGGGGCAGGAAGAGGCTGGGGAGCGGGGGGCACAGCGAGGCAGCCTCAGTGCCATGGGGGTGCCATGCTGAAAGCTGGTAAAGGCCCTCCGGGCAGCCCCATGCCACAGGGACCCTTTAACCTGGGGTTTCAGAAGTACCCACTCCTCCCTCAGAATACTTTCTGCCCTTCCCCCTTCCAGAGCCTCCTGCCTGGCTGTGCAGATGCAGGGAGCCTCCACACCTGGTCCGTCCCAGCCTCCGGAGCAAACCTTTCTGCTGGGCCCCTCATTGATACCTTTTTAAACTCTGAATTTCATCCAGCGTGAAGTCAAATATGCTAGCCAGGTGGTGGTTGGTGCTCCAGGCCGAGGTGAAGTCACTCTGTGGACACAGAGGAAGAAGAGAGGATGGGTCAGTCAGCGGGTATCAAATCCGCCTTCCCCAAGCACCTTTTGCCCCAGCTGAGGGCCACACCAGCCAGAGCTGCCAAGCACTGGGCCTCCCTAGGGTAAGGCCTGCCACTTCCTCTCTATTCCAAGTCCTGACCAGAGAGCCAAGTCACCCTGATTCTAGTCCTGGCTTTGTCTCCAGCCAACTGGATAATGCTGACCCTTCTGGCATTAGTCACCTCAACTGCAAAAAGGGGACAAGAAACCCTGCCCTGTTTCCCTCTTAAAAGGTGTCAGGATGCCCAGAAAATTAAATAATGGCTAACAAAGGCACTAAGTAATGCCTGTAAACTGTAAAGTGCTGGGGAGATGAGGCACTGTTGGTATCGCTGCCCACAGAGAGGGCTTCGATGAGGATGCCAAAGAAAAACAAATGCCCTGGAGCCCTGGTTCCAGGCTGATGTGTGACCTCAGGAAAGTCATTGCTCAACCCTGTCCTTGTTTCCCCACTTGACAAAGGGGACAAGGATACTACTGCCCCTGCCCCTGCCCCTGGGTTCCTGGGAGAACTTGGGGAGACAAGGGAGAGGTACTGGAGCACCTAACTTTTCCTTGTTTTGCTAAATAGGAAATGGGACATGGGAGAGTTTCCTGGGCTTGGGGGACTTCATTTTCTGCACAGGAATCCCTAATATGTGGCGGTCCTGCATGTGAAAGTGGAGGATGAGAAAACAAGGAACTAACACTGGGAATAGCATCTTCCAGCAAAAACTTTGATCTTTTTCTTCTATAAACTCGCCTTTTCTGCTGCTGGAATTCGTGAGGCAACAAACTGTGGAGACAGAAAAGGGAGAGGGTGGCTCAGTCAGAGCCTGAGGGCCAGAGGGGGCCCCAGAGGAAGGAGCCTCAGGAGCACAGGGGCAGGGGCCGGTAGCTGGGGTAGGGATGGACTTGAATGAGGGTAGATGGCGGCACCTTCAGAAGGAGTCTGGGGAGGAATGCACTTGCTTTGGGGCAGGAGATGCAGGAGGGTTATCATGGGTAGAAAAAGAAAAGGTGCCTCTCTGGGCATGTGTGTCCAGGTACCCTGCCCCCAACACCCAGGAGGGGGCTCAGCTCAGCCGGGAGGGCAAGGGCACTGTCCACACACCAATTTCCCCTTCTCTTCCCCTTAGGGCTAGGGCCTATGATCTGGCTTTTCCTGAGAGGCAATAAGGGGGCTGCAGAAGGAGCCTGGGAGCCACTGACTAGCTCTCTCAGGGAACCTATGTTGGACTAGCTGTGGGGGCTCTTGGTTTATGCAAATGTCACCATGTTCTCAGATTCCAGGCATGGCCCATTGTCCTGGGAGCTGGGAGTAGAGAAGCCAACTGGGGCTGCAGCCCTAACCCCTAGGTCCCCAAGCACTGACCCAGGCTTGCTCTTTCCTCTCTTACGCAGCTCAGAGGAGCTAGAGGAGGCGCCGTTTTCATTTGGCAACAGACCCTTGTCAGGCAGCAGCTTCCCCGGTGGGTTGGGGGGGACACGGATGCGCAGGCGGAAGATGCACTTCTTCTTCTTGATCTCTTTGCCGCAGAGGAACCTGGGCATGGGCAGGGGAGGAGACCCAGATTCAGTCCATCCTCCTGGGGAGTGTTGGTGGGCATTAAACAAGGTTGTCTGCCTCTCTGGACCCAGACCTAAAATCCAGAGTGCCCCCTAGGGACTAAGTGGGTCCTAGCTGAGGATTGGCTGGTGGCTCCTCCATATCCTTCCTCCAGTACATGTGGGGTTCTTGCTGTTCCTCTCCCTTTTCTTCTCTGCCGCAACCAGCTGCAAGGCCACCTTCAGCTCACAGTGGGACTCCCATGGTCAAGACACTGATTCCAACCCATGCTGTCGTCTGAACTCCCCTAGAAGCTGGAAGCACCCCCAGGCACTTCCTTCCTTCCAACACTGGCTGCATGGCCCTGAGCTGCAGAGGCAGTTCACACCCAGGCCTGTTCTTGGGGACTGTCTGCTGGGAGGCACAAGGCCTCGTACTGAGGAGTAGACTGTGCCTGGGTCCCAATGTATGTGAATGTGAAGGTGAGTCCTTCTAGAGGCATCTGGAAGCTTTTGTAGAAGCAGGGACTTGTCTTTTCCCCCAGCACCTAGACAGGGCCTGACAGAGCAGCAGCTGATAAATACTTGCTGATGGAACAAATGAATAGAGGGAAGGAAGAGCATCCTAGGCTGAGGAAAGATGATGAGCAAAAGCCCTGGGTGGGGAGCAAGGGCTCAGTGGGGCTGGCACCAAGACAAAAAATCAAAGAGACAGTGGAAGAAGATTTGCAGGCAGGGCCTGATCAAAAGAGTCCTTGAATGCTGGAACGGGGAGCCCAGGCATCCCCTGTGTGGTGAAGGATGTGGCCAGCTATGTGTGCTGAACTCAGAATGGGAAGACACTGGCTGGGGCTAGGTTAGAAGGCTATGACACACCTGGAATATGCTGACTTGATGCCTCACTGAGGGACCCAGAACCCCAGCTGGCTCAGGCAGGAGGGACCCTCAGAGAGCAGGAGCACATACCCCTATGGAGCTGAGCCCAGTCCCAAACTGAGTAAGGCTGCTGGGTGCTCAGGAGAAACTTTGCAAAAGAAGGTCCCAGGATCCTTTGTTCCCTGGGTCATGAAGGATGGGAAGGGTATAGGTAAAGAAGGAGAGGGAGACCCAGACAGGTAGGAAGAGCCCTTAGCTTGAGATCCCACCTGCTGGGGCGGCCCACAGTACTCCCTCCCATGCTGCACGCACCGGCTTTTGTAACTGTTCAGAGCATTGAGGAGATGCGGTCCTCGATCCGTCACAGGGGTGCTGGTGAGCTGGGGGAGCAAGCCAGTGAGACAGTCAGACTCAGGCACCTGGCATCTTAGGAGGCCCCACCCTGTCCCCTGCCTGTCCATCTTCTTCCTGATGCCTTTGAGTCCTTCAGGTGAGGACATTGATCCATGAAAACTCAGACAAGCCTTTTCCCCTCTCTCAGGGGAAAATTGAGAGAAAAACTCCTGGCCTAAATCTATTAAGATCTTTAAAAGGTACATACTTTGACCCAGTAATGCTCCCCCAGGGGATCTATGGTACAGATAGGACACGGGACTCAAATAAAACTACATACAAAAATGGTCCTAATGGCACGTTTCTAATGGTGGAGAGGAGGGAAAAAAACCACATGCCCAACAGGAAGGAAACCAGTGAACTACGGTAGAAACCAATGCCGCCATTAAAAATGTTCATGACAAAAAGAAAAATATGTTCACGAAGATTCTTCAGGAATATGGGAAAGCATTTAAATTATGACAAACTGAAAAAAGATAAATTAAAATTATATATACATACTGTATCATCCAAATCATGTAAAAATAAAAAAAAAAACAAGCATAGAAGAGAGGCTCAAAGGAAATGTACCTATGCATTATTTCTAGTTATTTCTGGGTAGTGTGATATGCGAATGTGGATTTTTTAAAAAGTACACTTCCTTATGTTTCTTGGTAACTTAAAAATTTTCTACCAGTAATAAGTATGATTTTTTTTGTAAATCAGGAAAGAGTAAAAAAAAAAACAGTTTAAGGCTTTATAATATGTATAGCTTATAAATTATCCAATACTATAAATGAAGATTTCATGTGAAAAAATTTTTTTACAGGGGCTGAGGATGTGGCTCAGTAGTTAAGCAGCCCTGGTACAAAAAAAAATTTTTTTTCTTTTTCTTTTTTTATTATTTTTGCAAAGCATGTAGGCTACTTAAGAAAAAAATTGGGGCTGGGGTTGTGGCTCAGTGGTACAGTGCTTGCCTAGCATGCTTGAGGCACTGGGTTTGATTCTCAGCACTGCATATAAATAAATAAAATAAAGGTCGATTAACAACTAAAAAATATAAAAAAAAAAAAAAACCTTGTCTCATCAAAGAAGAGCCTGGGGCAATCAGTAGAGAAGCAGGCTCACTTGCATGTAGTAGCAAGGATTCTGAGTGTCATTAGGGACAAAGGGGCTCATCCCCACTCCGGAAGTGGCTAGGAAGCTCCTGATCCCAGCCTTGGCTCAGGTGGCTGACCAACAGGCAGGCTGTTCTCCAGCTCTGACATTCTAAAGTCTACATTTGTTACTTCAACTAACTCATGGATCAGAGGTGCTCAGGCCCCTGGTGACCCACTGTTCAGAACAGCATGAGCAGGGACAGGACTACTCTACTTTTCATCTTAGCTAAGAAATCTGAAGTGGGCCAGACATCTCAGCAGAGAACCTGCTCTGGCCAGATTTGATCCAGGGCCCCAGCTCCCAGAGGCTGAGTTGGTGAGTCCCCATATGCCCACTGCCAAAATCAGAGACCAGAGGCCTGGACTCAGGATGCAAAGTGAGAGCTCACACACCAAGACCCTAGTCCTCAAGGCGCAGCCCTATAGAGACATCTCTGTCTCTGCCACTCTGACAGCCCACTGCCCTGAGTACCTTGCCAAGCTGCAGGAGCTCCCAGTGGTGGTTGACAAAAGCCAGAATCTCCTCAAAGTCAAAGTACTTCTTCTTGCTCTGCACCCCAAGGTTGTAGAGGGCCAGGTGAACCACATCCACCCTGAGCAAGAGGGCAAGGGGTGGGGCCAGGTAAGGGGCGGGGCAACCCCCAGGGAGGAGATAATGGAGGAGCTGGCAGGGGTGAATTTGAACCAAGCCCCACCCTCTCACCATCGCAGGGGCAGCCTCTCGATGTACTCTGGGCCCTGGTTACACACGGAGCAGAAGAACAGGTAGAACCTGTGGATGGGTGGAAAGGGGACCTGTGGTGGGTTTACGAAGATTCTTCAGGAATATGGGAAAGCTTTTGTGGTGGGTGGGGCTCTGACATCCTACCCTAGGCCAGCTCCCCCCACCTGCCTCCTCATAGTCAGACTTTCATTCTTGGGACAGGTGGCCTCTGGGGGGTTGGAGGGCTAAGGACAAGGCTGGACAGGATCAAGGAATACTCCTGTACATTCAGTCCCCTTCCCAAACACTACTGCCCTGGAGTGCCTCGAGGTTCATAAGAGAGTGACCTGAGCTATGCTGGACTGTAGTGGTCACCCTCCTCCCCTAATACACACACAATGACAAATGACACAAACAAAAAACATATAACATCTGGCTTGACATGTAGCACCTTCCATTAGCTTAGCCCTATTGCTTAGAAGGCATCCATTTCTTTTGGTGGTTCCTACAACTTCTCTGGGCAGGACTGGGGCAGGGACTGTGTCACCATTCCCTCCCCAGACACTTGAAGAGACTGGTGCTTAGGGAAGGTAAAGATGTGCCTGAAGTGCTCACAATTCCATGGCAATTAGGAATGCAGCACAGCATAGCTGGGACTCCTTTACCCTGAGCAGCCTCCTGTGGATGGGTACATGCTATCATAGACCCCCTGTATGGGCCTAGCAGGCAATCCTAAGGAGCTGCCACTCTGAAGGCCAGGCTGGACCAAAACAGCACTAACTTACCTGTCTCCAAACATCATAGGCTCATTGAGGCATTGTGTGCAGGCCTCATGGAACCACTGCCTGCATCGATAACACTGCAGCATCCGCAGATACCATCTGGAGAGGAAGAAGAAACACGGTCAGCCATGTTCACAATTAGGCATGAGGCTCAGCAGCTGTGACCTCCACCCAAAGAGAAGGAAGGGAACTCCCAGATACTAAGCACTCAGACTGTGCCTGGAGGTTCTGGGAGCCAGGCGTATGCCACTTCGTTGGACCTTACCATCTGGCCGAAGATGAACATTGCCCCCATATTACAGATGAGTTAGAGAATAAATGGCTTGCTCAAGGTCACTCAGAACGTGGAGGATGGTGACTCAAATCCTGGTTTCCTCAATTTCAAAGCCCGTGTTCTTCCTGCCATGCCATATCAGAGCCCCCACCTCTGGCCTGTGTTTGTTCCCCAAACATCACAGACATCCTGAGAGACTCATGGAAGAATAATGGTTCCTGTAAAGCTGCATGGGGGCAGGCCTACACCTATTGTTTCTCACCTGGTACTGTAACTACCCCATTAAGGCTATTCAACAATTAGTATCTGGTTGTGAATGAAGGGCAAAAAGATATTCCCTTAACAGCCAACATTCTGCACTTTGTCAGGTGTGGTCCAGGGTAACCTGCAGGTTCCTTGGTCCACTTCAGACCTTTGCAATCTTTGGGGAAGCCTCCAGGAGATGCATCCTTAGCAATCACCCATTAAACACTGAAACACACTGCCTTAAGGCCATAAAGGTTTCTGTAAACATTTCTCAATCTTCTCTTGTTAGGCTGCTCAACAACCCAGGATCTATAGGTAATTAAGGTAACTAAGCCGTTTAGAGAGTTTTAAGTAGTTCAAGTGATTTGCCTGAGTTCCCAAATGGGCTCTAACCACAGTCTTCAGACCTCTAGTTCTTGTATCAGATGGGGTATGAGATTAAGGACATCAGGGGGCCCTGCAGACTGTTTCCTGAGGCAGAAACCCAACCTCTAAAGTCTGAGGTTCCTTTCATAATGCCTGGGGCAGTCAGTGCAAAGGAGCAGGATCAACTAACCATGGCTATAAGGGGAACCAGGAAGAGTCAATCAGACTCTGGCACAGTAGGACAAGAATGCCCTCTGCACCATCCCCAGCATCAGGCCAGCTCTGCTTGCACTTCTCTAGGGAAAAGAATCTTTGTATCTCACTTGTTTCATTGGCTCTGACGATGAATAGGTAATCATAATTTCCATGCAGTAATGGCACTATCACCAGTACCTCACTTTTTTTTAATATTTATTTTTTAGTTGGACCCAATATCTATTTTTATGTGGTGCTGAGGATCAAACCCAGGGCCTCGCACATGCTAGGCGAGCGCTCTACCCCTGAGCCACAACTTCAGCCCACCTCACGTTTTTCAAATGCTTGCCAAGTACCAAGATCTGTGTATGCCTTTACGGGAATTATGTAATTAACATCGTGCACAACTTCCACATGGTGAAAACAGTAAGCAAACTGAAGCTTGGGGGTTGCACAGGGACAGAGCCTGGATTTGGACGTCCGGGGAGGATCAGGCCTAGGCTCTTAGTTATTCCTCTATACGTCCTCCTTTCCTCCAGGTTCCAAGCGAACACCCCTGTCCCCCCCGTCCCGGATCCCCCAACTGCCGGAAAGTGTCAGACGCCACCTAGAGGCCCAATCTTCAGGTTCTCATCTTGAAGTCCTGCCCCCTTGCACCCCACTCCGAAACCTTACCTTCAGGGGCTCCTGGAGGCCCCTTGGCGACTCTCCTGACTCACCCCTGTCGCAGAATGCACCCCGACCTATCCTGCCTCCCTGGGGACCCCGCTCCCACCTCTCACACAGCGCGGCTCACACTCCGGGCCCCGCCCCCGCGGCCAACCTCTGGGTTGGACTCCGGGGGCTGACACTTCGGGCCCGCCTCCCGGGGCCCCGAACCCCCGAGGCTGACACTTCAGGCCCGCCTCCCGGGGCCCCCGAACCCACCCCGAAGGCTGACATTTCAGGCCCGCTTCCCGCGGCCCCGCCCCCGAGGCTGACACTTCGGGCCCGCCTCCCGAAGCCCCGCCCCTGCGGCCCCGCGCCGGAGGCTGACACCTCGGGCCCGCCTCCCGAGGCCCCGCCCCCAAGGCTGACAATTCGGGCCCGCTTCCCACGGCTCCGCCCCCGGAGGCCCCGCCCCCGAGGCTGACACTCCGGACCCGCCTCCCGAAGCCCCGCCCCCGGAGGCCCCGGCCCGAGGCTGACACTTCTGGCCCGCAGCCCCGACCCCACGGCTGACCTTCCCGGCCCGCCCCTCGAGGCTCACACTCCCAGCCCTCCCCGTCAGGCCCCAGCCGGCAGTCTGACGCTCTCGGACGTGCCCATCTCCCCGGTGGCCTTACTCTCCGGGCCCGCCGCAGTAGCAGTAGCATTGCTGCTGATTGGTGCGGTGTGGCGAGTCCCACTCGAGCTCCTCAGGTTGGTAGGACAGCACCATCTTCACTGCCTGCAACGTCCTGGCGATGGCGCCCTTCTTCAGCGCGCCACCTTTCTGGGGGAAGACGAGGGCCCCAATCACCTGCTGTACTGGTTGGGCCACCCGTGTCATTACACGACTATCAAGGGAAATACTGCCCAGGGGTTGGGGGAACCCACAGAAGTTCCAAGACAGGAAGGCAAGGAACTTTCCTTCACCAATCCTCAAGCCATCTCTATCCCAGAAGGATCTTCATTAATAATATTAAAGGAAATAAGCACAATACAGGTCATAATGACCTATATGTATTAGCATGGGCATTTACAGGGATTTTCTCTTTTAATAGCAAAGCACCATCTATCAGGAGCCTGCTACTCCTAACACCAAACCGTGTCTATTTTACAGTTGGGGAAACTGAGGCTCAGTAAGGCTCTGGAATTTGATCAAGGACATACAGCTCCTAAGTGGCAGAGATACCATCTATCTCTGAAGCCCAAGTAGGGTCCTTCTGCTTGGAGCTCAGAGTCTGGTATGGGGAGTCCGGCCTGGGCCCAGGGGTCCTCTGGGCTGCTGGACTGGAGGAGGGAGAGGCAGGGTCTGACAAAGATAGAGGCTCACCCGCACGGCCAGTGCGAAGATGCAGCGTCGACAGAACCAGGGTGTGAGCAGGGGCCTGTCAGCACTGCCTGCTATGGGAATGTGGCACTGCTGGTGGTAACCTATGGCAGAGGAGGGGGTAGTGAGTACCCAGGACGAAGCAGTGGCTCAAGGCCAGGAAGCTCAAAGGCAGCAAGGCTGAGAAGGTGGTGGAGAGCCCTGGGAGCTCTGCCTGCCAGCTGCTAGGGGGCTGGCTGGTGATGCCCACCCAGGCAGCCAAGTTGGCATCCAGGCTGGGGATGAAAAGAAAGCACTGGCCAGAGGGGGAGGCACCAAGGCCTGGCTTCAGCACCTGTACCGGTTCTTTCCCACCCTTCCTCGATACCTAGGTGGGTACCAAACTGCATGTTCCATTGTATTTTCTCAACTTCCCCAAGGTCACCTCCCTGGGCCCTCATTCACAGAGACTGGCCCCCTTTCATCCTGGAGCTCAAGAGAAACAGGGAGCCACCAGGGGTCCCAGCAGTGGGGAATAGTGTCCATCAGGCCAATGCAGGGGTAGACTCACAGGATGGGGGCTTTTTAATGCCTGCTCACCCCACTCACCCAGGCCACACTTTCCACAGATGAGGATCTCATTCAGGGGTCCCGAGGTCTTCCCCAGGCAGATGTTACACTTGGGCTCCTCCCCTGGAACACCGGCTGGAAAAGAGGGCCTTCCAGGTCACAGTTGGCTCACAGCAATTAGAAGAGTGAAAATCAGAGTCCAGGTCCTGGGCTTCTGGTGCACACTGGACCTAGCACCAGGCCTCCAAGCCACCCCACCACATCTGTCCAATGGGGTATTACCAATACCCCATTCTAAAGATGGGGAAACTGAGGCTTAAGAGATTAAGTTCCTTGCTAAGCTAATAAAAGGTGGGATTCAAACTGATGGCTATTCAACAAATCTTTTGTTCTTTTGACCACAGCATGCTCTCTTCTAATTAAACTTGTTTGGTTGACATTTTTATGCTAAATAACATTTTAAAAAATTATTATGGGATAATAATGGTATGTTACACTATAACTCCATGTTCTCATAAATAATTATGAACTCAGAGCTAATCTTATTTTGACTAGGTTCCCACCCACTTCTCCCTCTTGTCATTATTTTGAATTGAGATCCAGATACCAAATCATTTTTCCATAAATAGTTTAGTTGTATCTCTGAAATAGCAGGACTTTTTTTTTTTTTTTTTTTAAAGCATCACTACTGGGTTGGGACGTAGCTGTGGGGTAGAGGGTTTGCCTAGCCTGCATAAGGTCCTGGGTTTGCCTAGCATGCATCCTTCCCAGCATAAACAAAACAAAACAAAACAAAAAAAATCGCAACAGAGCCTTAATATCAACAAATTCAGTTAGTGTTCATATTCCCAACTGTCTCTCGATAAAAATGTTGTCATGATTCTCAGGGCTGGGGTTGTGGCTGAGTGGTAGAGTGCTTGCCTACCCATATATGAGGCCCTGGGTTCAATCCTCAGCACCACATATAAATAAATAAAATAAAGGTATTCTGTTCTCCTACAACTAAAAAAAATGTTTTAAAAAAATGTTGTCATGATTCTCAATTTGTTTTTTGCTTTTGAATCAAGATCCAAAAAAGTCTATACATGGTGACCAGTTAATAGGATTTTAGAATTGTTTTTCATCTACTGATTCCCTCTCCATTGTTTTCTTTACATTTTAACAACTGAAATGCTTGAATGGATACATTAAATACATATTGATGTGTGTTTCCGTCTCATTTCTCCAATCATCTGAGGGTTTGGTGTTTTGTTTTGTTTTATTTTTGTACCAGGATTGAACCCGGGGCATTTTACTACTGAGCCACATTCCCAGACCTTTTATTTTTTATTTTGAGACAGGGTCTCACTAGGTTGCTCAAAGCCTCATTAGGTTGTTGAGGCTTTGAAACTGAGATCCTCCTGCCTCAGTCTCCTGAGCTGATGAGATTATAGGCATGTGCCACCACCCAGTGTCATTTTTTTTTGTTATAGTAGAAATGGTGTCATTTCATTTTGGTATCCCCAGGACCTCATATGGGATACATATAGGTGTTTAAGACATGTTTGTTGAATAAATGATCAAGCAGGGACCTGGTTCTTCCTGAATATGCCCCAGGAGTGTGGTACCTACAGTGAGTCTCAGTAAGTCCTCACTGGCTTAATGAAGCAATGAGATGGATCATAGCTTAGCGTGTCCAGCAACACCAGGGGGCCACCATTCTGCCTGGGAGGAACAGTCTTCCGGCTGGGGAGACAAGCTATTCTAGGAGAGCACAATGGTACCTCCATGGTGTCTGGCACACAGTAAACCTTCTGTGCAAGCCCTGCTAAAACTAAATGTCTTCTCTAGCTGGTTCCTTACACTTTCAGTAAAAGGGTAATAGGAGAGAAGATCTTCATGGGCTTTGGATCTTTATATAGTAATTCTAGGGTAAGAGGGCTGGGAAAAGGTATCAGTCTGTCTTGGCCACAATTTCTTGCAGAAAGGGGCTATTTAAATCGTCTTTTATAGTGTTACTATAAATTCTTTGTTACTGTATATTCTTTGGAAACTGCTTCCCTGTGACTCAATAGCACCAGGCTAAGCTTTTTACATGGCTATCTC